ACAATGTGTCAGGTGTGCCATACGGAAAATTGCCATCGATAATAGTGGGACGCTATCTAATTCATTAATTCAACCAACCAAAGCGGGGGCATTAAGTGTTAACAAATTAAGACGCTGATAAAGCCAACTTTATGGTTTAAACTTCCTCCTCGAATTACTGAATTAGAGGCAGCGTTTTGGATGAAGCCAAAGTTGCATCTGTTTTGTCGGAACATTTATCGTTGGATTTTTTTCATTACTGCAAACGCCGAAAAACAAACAAGGACAAAAGCACACGTAATATTCTTAGACAATAAAATATGTCAGCTTAAACGAGTGCTCAAGACAAAGGCGTCAGTTCAAGATTTTCCTGCAAGTAAACTGCCCGGGTTATTCATTTAGTCAGTCAGTATATGAGAAATTCAAAGCTGCAAGGTTATGAGTGAATAGGTGATACACTGACTAGGTGGAGTTGATACCTGTACTTTCACGTAAAACATTAAATAATTTCAGAGAGAAAGATTTTTGGGAATAACGTTACTTTCCCTGAAAGCCGTCCTCTTTACCAATAATATCACCTTCTTTAAAGCCGCTGAAGGCCTTAAAGCCTTCTTTATAATAATAATAATAATAATAATAATAATAATATCAATCTCCACAAAACCTTTTTTCGCTGTCCCAAATACATTCAAAACTCTCTAGTGCATGTCTGTGTCACTGCAGAAGCCGATTTATGAGTTGACAATATTGTTAATCATCGTGATAGAAAATTTATAGTTTCCGGCTTGTGGGAGTCCATTTTTTTTTTTTTTTTTTTTTTTTTTTTTTTATTTATTTTTGCCTTACAGACATATATTAAATGTTTACAGTACTAAACACTACTGAAACTAAATACTACTAACAATATTCACTATACTTGCACTATTTACAATATTGGCTATACTGACAATACCATCCATACGATGCTCGTACTACTAATAATTACAATGGTTACACTACTTACAATTCTAGTACATCACACACACACACACACCCCCACACAAACACACACACACACACAAAAAAAAAGGTCAGAGGAGTTACTTTTCATGTCTATTTTATAGCTTTTCAATTCTGTATTTAATTATCATTTTACCAACGAAGTCTTGGAGGAGAATTGGTTTGTTGTGTAGTTTGTTGGCGTAGATGTAGTATCTCATAAACAACATGGTATAATTGAATTTCCTTACTAGTACCTTTTCATGTAAGTCCGAGAGGATGCCGAACAGTCTTTCTTCGCTAGATGGGTTGAGATTGATCTTGTTTTCTATATTGAACCAGTTGATAACCCGTTGAATGAAAATCTTGACGAAATGACAATCTCTAAAAGTATGATTAATAGAGTCTTTTTCACCACAATATATACATTCATCATCTTCCTTGATTCCATAGCGGTAAAGTTCCTTTTTGGTGACTACAATTCGGTGGATTAATTTATATTGAAATTCCTTTAATTTGGTCTCTCTACAGACGGTTTTTAGGGAGGTGAATATTTTTTCCCATTTATCTTCATCCAAGGAAAGATCTTTGCTCCATCTCTGTGGCCCAGAATGACCTGTTGTGTGGATTTTTGTGCATAATAACGTATAGAAGTCGCTAGTCTTGATTTTGTTCAGATATAGAGTTATCGATTCATTTAATTGTAGACTAAGATTATTATCAGAATATAACTCTTTATTAATTGGCTTCGTTGATTTTGCTTTGGCTAATAGGTGCTTTGGGATAGCGCTAATAACTTGATAGTATTGAAGGAAGTTAGTTTTACAGGAATACTTATTCGTAAATTCCTGATAGGTCATCGGTTGACCGGTATTGTTTAAGAGATCTTGTATTGACAGGATACCTTTTTAAACCATTCCCTGATAAAAAGGTTTTACTGTCAACAAGTATTTTTTGTTGTTGAATAGAATTATATTTTGTGCTTGATCAAAGCTGTACAGAGTGTTTAATTCACTGAAGTATACTAGAATATTTCGGTAAAACAATGGAATAGATTTTATGTATTTCGCATCATAGTTACATCTCAGTAAAAAGTTCAAACCTCCGAATTTTCTTAGGTAATAATCAGGAACTGTTTTCCAATTCTGGTTCCCTGGGTCAGTAATCTTGGAATCCAGGCTAGTTTTAGAGCTTTAAACATTATGTCGATGTCTACCATACGTATTCCGCCTCTTCCCAGATCCTGATAGAGCCCAGTTCGTTTAATTTTATCCCTTTTGTTTTTCCATAAGAAACTAAAAAACTTTGTTTTCACTGTGCTTGCGATATCTTCGGGAACATTAAGAATTGAAGCTGAATAAATTAATTGTGACAATCCTAGGGACTTAATTATCAGTACCTTCCCAAATAGTGTGAGGTCTCTAGATCTCCACATATCCAGCTTTGTTTGAAGTTTTCGTATTTTCAGATTAAAGTTCAATTCATTGTTACCCTTCTCATCATAAGAGACATGAATTCCTAAGAGGCGAGTCGGACTATGTAACCATTTTAGTTGTAAAGGATAACTTTTGTTTTTTTCCCATTTTCCCAACCAAATTGCTTTCGATTTCTTTATGTTTAACTTGAGACCCGCTAGCCTCCCAAAATCTCCCACCGTTTTCAAAGCATTTTCAACGGAGATCAAATCTGCACAGAAAAGGTTTGTGTCGTCTGCGAATTGGCTCAATTTGATTTCGTGCCCGAATATTTTGATTCCTGTTATACTTGGTTCTTGTCTGATTTTGCTGGATAATATCTCCGTGGAAAGCACAAATAAGTACGGAGAAAGGGACACCCTGTCGCACTCCTCTTGACGGTCTAAACCAGTTGGTCATGAAACCATTGTTTATCGCCGCGCTCTCAATTTTTGTATAGAATGTACTGATCCATCTTTTTATACTTGTTCCGAAATTGAATATATCCAGTGCTTTCATCATGAACGACCATTCTAGAGAATCAAAAGCTTTCCGAAAATCTAGAGATACTAGAATGCCAGGTATGCTTTCTGACTTCGTATGTTCCATTATGTCGATTATTAGCCTAATATTTTCCCCGATATATCTTCCTTTGATAAAACCGGTTTGATCAGTGTGCACTAGATTTGGTAATAATGGTTCTATTCTCCTTGCTATTGCCTTAGTTGCTATCTTGCAATCAACATTTAGCAGTGATACCGGTCTCCAGTTTGAAAGTTCTAGTAGCGAGCCATCTTCTTTGGGAATTAAAGTAATAACGCCTCTTCGTTGTGAAATGGTGAGTTCATTTGCATCATAGGCCGCATTGAAACTAGCAACAAGATCGTGTCCTAGCAGATCGAAAAAAAACATATAAAATTCAACCGTGAAACCATCTTCTCCTGGAGCTTTGTTGTTTTGAAAAGTGTCTAAAGCTTTTTTGCATTCTTCATAAGATAATGGACCTTCTATTCTATCTCTGTCTGCATCTGATAGTTTTGGAATTTTTAAATGTTCGGTGAATTCATCAACATTATTTTCCTGTGAATTATTTGCTGATGCGTACAATTCGCTATAATAGTTTTCGATAGCTTCTAATATCTGAGACTCGTTGTTTGTTACTGTTTCACTTTCTGTTCGCAGTTCAGTGATGGTTTTCCTGTTGTAGTTTCTTTTCTCCAGATTGAAAAAGTACTTTGTTGGACGTTCGCCCTTTTCGACCCATCGACATTTCGATCTAAAAATAGCTGCCCTCCCTTTCTCCTCATAAATAGATTGGAGTTCCATTTTGAGATCTTCATATTCATTTAGGATGATATTGGGAGAGTTAAAGTTGTCGCAAATATTGCGGTCCAGAATTTCGAGCTGTCTCCTAATTTCCAATTCTCTATTAGTGGTCGCTTTTGCTTTCTTTTTACTATAAGCAATGGTTGCCGCTCTGATTTCCATTTTTAACATTTCCCAAAGAAGGCGTGCGTCTGTCAAATTGGAGTAAAAAGCGCGTGTGCGGGAGTACGTTTCACGGATTTTGGACACATAATGTTCATCTTTCAGTAACGTGTTGTTGAATTTCCAAAGTCCGGGTCCTCTAAACTTTTCAGTTGTCCAAGACAAAGAAATGTAAATTGCTCGGTGATCCGGTGCTATAGAAGGATAAATTTCGCTTTTCTTTACATGTTGTGTCAGATTTTTGGCAACTAGGAAAAAGTCTATTCTGGATTTCAGTTTTAACACTTTTGATTCATAAGAGTATTTACGTAGCCTCGGGTGACGTAATCTTTGAATATCTACGAGATCGAAAGCGTCCATAGTTGTCAAAATCAGGTTTCGATAATTTGTTGGTTTCCAAATTGTGCCACCAATTTTATCTATCTTTGATAGTGTGCAATTCCAGTCGCCTCCTACAATAAGCGTGGAAATTTCTGACTTGTCGATAAGGCAATTGTTTAAGTTTTGTAAGAAATCTAATTGTTCACTTTGGCTATTCGGGGCATAAATATTCACCAGTGATAATTTTAGAGAATTCAGAACACAAGTAATTAGCACGATTCTTCCAGCCTTGTCGCTGAATGAGTAATCGATCTTATTTTGTACCGTAGGGTGTAAAAGAATGCAAACACCTTTACTATGTCTGGATCCGTGAGAGAAAAATGTTTCACCTCCCCATTCGTTTTTCCTAATAATTTCATCTTCTGGTTGAGAGTAAGTTTCTTGCAAGAAATAAATTTTTGAGTTATGATCTTTGAGATATAGAAAAATGCTCCTCCGTTTGGCTTGATCTCTTATTCCCCTTACGTTTAGAGAAAGTATATCGTATTTTGCTTTCTCTTGCATTACAATAAAAAACAAAAAAAAACAAAAACAAAAAAACAAGAAGAATATATATGCAAATTTAAAAAAAAAATACAGAAGCAAACAAAACTAAAATTATACAAAACGTAAATTAAAGTAGTTTTTGAGCGTTTCCCTTCTTCTTCTCCGAACTTTGCGTTTTTTGTTCCTGTCCCAAATGTAAGTTACAGTTTTTGTCTTCCTTGGCCGATTGGACATTTAAAGATAATCTAAGTCTTCCAGCTCGTTAATTCTGACCGGCTTACCCTGCGGAGAGGTCTTGACATATATTGATCCATCCATTGACCAGACACTCAACAATTCATCATTTCTCCGCATCTCGTTTGCCCGATTCATTATTTTTTTCCTGTACGAGGTAAGATTCTCGTTTAAAAAAATTCTGTCGGCTTGCACTAGAGTTGACGACGAGCACTGCGGGAAGATGTTAGAAACTCTGACATTTTTTAGCTTAGCCCTAGCCCTGTATAGATTTGTTTTGACCTTGTGGCTTATAAATTTTACAATAATTGGTTTGTTACCCTTCCTGTTCAGCTTGTGACATATTTCGATATCCTTTGGTTCCACCGATACCTCTAGGGCCTCCGCTAATTTTAACACCACGTCTTCCGTCTCGGTGTAAGCGCATTCTGGTACACCATGTATTTCTATTGAGTTTTTCCTCGTGTATTGTTCTAGTTTGTCTTGAAGATCGTACAATTCACCAATTTCTTCTTCCTGCTCTTGAATTTTCTCTTTTGCTGCCACCAGCTCGCGTTCTACCTCGTTGTACTGCTTCGTTATATGTTCTAGAGATGATTTCAACGCAGTTATATCGTCTGTTTGATGTTGAATTGTGCGCTTGAGATCGGTCATTTCGCTTCTGATTGTTTTGTTTTCGCGTAGGATAGTTGCAGTATTTATTTGAATGTCTACCAGCATCTCCCTTAGTTCTGCATTACTGGGCTCACCTTCGGCGTTTATTGCTTCATTTGTCGCTTCCACTAACTCCGCGGCCTCTTCCTCTTGACATTCCGCCATGTTGGCTCTTTTAAGTGTCGATGGTTCTTCTTCCTCCACTGATCCTCGAGCTCCTCGTTTGTGTTTTCCTCCTAATTTCTGCATTTAATACTTCAGCAAGTGTTTAAACAAGGCGGTATAAAGTTCTCTAAAATTGGCGTAAAGGGACAGAAACTACGCTCCTCACAAAACGTGCCACCGCACACCGACCCCACGCATGCTCTTATTTGTATGGGAGTCCATACAATTTTAGAGAGCGTGTCATACATCATTTTGAAGGGCAAAAATTAATATGATGTTGTTCTGCGACAAAAAACCACACTAATTTTTGATGTGGGTGTCTAATAACTACAACACCGGCCGCTAAATAAATTACTTATACACGTGAGAGACTACTTTGTCTCTGTTTCACAAGCGCTTTGTTGAAGTAGAAAATATTAAGACCAGTGTTTCACATTAAATGGAATGCCTTTGCCAGTAATTTAGGATGGAATTGTTGTTCTTTGAGCTTAATTAATTCTAGGGCCTCCTATTATGAGACCTATCGGGCTAGGCCACGCTAGGCCGCCAGAGTATCTTAAGCTGATGTATTTGCCAAATTATATCATACACAAGGCGAAAAACAGTTACTTATTCTAAGTCTTGGTAAGGGTTTTGGGATATTGAACACGTAAGGTACAGTGCTCTGACTATCATTACGACTATCATCTTCCTACACGTAATATATATTACTATTCATTCAAAATATTTCCCCGATTCTGATTGGCTAAAAGCACAGTCTTAATTCTCTATAACCAGCTACTGATGACCAAATTTGGAAGAATTTTGCGATTAATCCACCGATGACGCCAAAAGTACAGCTTTCTTGCAGGTTAATGCACCATTCACCGAGAAGACCTGGAGACGAGGTTGAGTTGTTTTGGCTGTGAAAACAAAAATGGCGGGCATTTCACTCCTTTTAAGAGTAAGAACTAGGCGAAAGTCGCTATTTTTCTTTCTTTGTCCTGATCAAAGTACCAATCTGTCTTACTCGTCGACTGTTGAGGTAGCTCTTTTAATGAAGCTTATTTATCAACCAGTTAATTTTAAATACATGTTTGAAAGCAAAAAAATTGCAATCTCTAAATTCGTGGTAGACACTAAGCATAGATCGGCAGCCATGACTCTTCCTAACAGAAGAGCCAGCGTGGGAATAAAGTAAATAAGTTGGATATATAAAGATGCCCTGCTCTACCGCGAAGATAGTAACTTTCGAGTCATAAGCAAAAGTACAAAGATGGTCGAAAAAGAAACTGGTTTTCTTTTGTTGTTTGTTGCCGTGCTGTTTATTTTTTGTAACAGCCTTTGAGATTTAGCAATCAAATCTTGTAATTAACATCGCACGCGCCAATTAACAGGTTCAATGACTTTGCTTTCAATTTCAGATTCATCACGTAAAACTATTTCAGCGATAAAAGGTAGTTCTTGTTTCTAGTCCGACCCTGTAAACTGACTTGAAGGAAGAATAAAAGTGTTATTCCGCTTTACTTTTTTTCCGGCCAGTTTAGAGTCCGTCATGACGGATACCAAATGACCCTGTAAAATGTCCAAGAATATATGAAGAAATAAGCTCATTATTGTTGTTACTATCTATTCATTTTTCAGTTTTGGTTGTTTGTTTGTTTCAAGGAAAATAAAAAAAATAGCGTTTACACCTCTCCAACAAAAAGCGGAGAATTCAAGAACCGTAGAAAAGTGATGTTACCTGATGTCCACATGACGGTGAATTCATCAACATTCTGTATGCGCTGTGAGGTTAATTATACAATTTGGGCGGAAGAAACCGATTCTTGCAGCCAAGTGATGCAGCAAGTTCCTCAATTAAACAAGAAGAATGCCTTACCACGTGAACTGCATTAAAGAGGATGAACAGCTTTATTTAAAAAAAGTGCAAATGGTATCGAAAATAGAACACAGAACAATGACTTGCTCCAACTCAGATCCACATTCTGCATAAATAGAGGAAGATAACTCCCATCCATGAAGATCAACTGGAAAGAGTTTCTTTCATTAGAAAATCTGAACTACTAAACTGGACGAAAGGCGTAATTGGCTAAAAATGTCTTGGAGTAATAGTCGAGTAGTGTTCAAGGTTCCCGGTGAAGCTATAAAAGAAAGTCAGATTTTCTGGACTGTCAAATTCAGAGAGTCGAAAGAACACAGAACACTTCTGAGTAAATTCGAGTTTTTAAGGCAACCAAACTACCTCGACTAGCCTGACGGGTTAATTCACTAAAATGGCATTTTGCGAAAGAAAGGTAAGTGCAAATGGATGATTCAGGGCAAAGTCAAAAAAATATTTTTCCTTACTTCGCGTTTATTGTGATTGGGCTTTCCCTTCTTTCAAAAATTCTGTTAAAAGAGAAGCAATTAAGCAGACGTCGACTACCTTTGCAGGAGCTAGTCGTCCGTCTAAACTACGTTTTGCAGTATGACAGCACTACACTCATCAGCTCTCGAATGGCCCCTCGAGCACTAAGTCGTTTATCTTCGATTCTCTGAGTTTTGCAAAATATTGGCAAGAAATATTGCACAAAAAAAATTAAACAACAACAAAAAATATATTCCGGAGCGTCTCCATCAAACTTAGCACTACTTCAAGCAGAAATCATGAACTGCGACAGAATGTCTTTTCATTCAGCTATTTCTTGTTTGTTTGTTTGTTTCTTATGTTACCACCATTCGATGACTATAAACCACACAGACCCAAAATCCCTAGCTTTGAGACGCTCTGAGAGAGGGCCAGAATTCAAAACCTCAAGTTTTTAAACCTGTTAACTCAGTTGGTAACTTCATTTTTTTCTCTCTGTTCATGTTTGTTGGCTTGTTATTTTGATGTACATTCTTTCACTTGTTTACATAATGGTCATATTGGGAAAACTTGTACTTATCGAATGACTTTTTAATTTTCTTCCCCTTTAGAAAAGTGTCATTTACACGACCTCAGCTGTTCTTCTACTGGTTTTCTCGTTGTATGGAAATTCAGCAGAAAGCAAACCGACAATTCCAACCTTGCAAATTCGTCAAGACATAAACCCTACGGAACAAAGCATCTCTGAAGGCTCTGCTGAAGAGAAGTCTGGCTTGTTCGTTCTTGCCCCAGAAGAAAAAGATGACATGGCAGTTAGTGACAATCGAGACGAGAATGCTTTGCACTCAGACGGAGCAAGCAGACCGATAGGACAAAGAGCAACATCTAAACGCCAGAATAAGGCAATCCGATTCAAGAGGAACACCACACCGAACCCATGTGTAGAGAGAAACCAGCTCAAATTGATAGACCTCGAAACAGTTGTGCCCACCGTGATATGTGCAGAGGGTTGTAAAGAAATTAAAAGAGTGTATTTCTTTAAAGATAGGGATGATCCACTAACATTTGTGGTAGACTGTCAACGGCCTGCCGAAGGATCACGGCGGTGAAGGACACCCTTTCTTCTTCTTTGCCCTCTCCCCCAATCGCGCTTTCACGTTTGATCCATTCATCCTGTAACCCACCAGAGGGTATGTTCACAGACTGCATTTTTCTGTCGACTGTGGAAGTTTTGGTTTGTTGCGTGTTGTAAAAATGTATTTAGAACACTTAAAACATGGTTTCACTTTAATAATTTATTCATTTTTGATTATTGTTATTAGAAATCGATGCTATAGCACAGGGTCCAGAGGAGATGTGTTTGTCGTTAGAACATCAAAACTCGTCGAAAACCTCTGAAAAAATGGGTTATTTTGATCGCGTTACGGTTTCGTTACACATTCTATAGACCGCAAACCAAGAGACGGACGGCCTTCGGTCACCCTTCGGGCGACGTGCCGTGCCCCAGCAAGGATATGGCTTGCGGTTATTGATTTTCAAAAGTCGATCTGGGTCAGATAAGAAGCGAAGAAATCGTTTACAGTAGATTTATAAAGATCTCATTGGGCTAATTAATCGTGCTAAGCGACAGGTATACACATTTTTCAAGGTAAGTAATTCATTTATTCACACGAAACTCCTCTGGGCCCTGTGGCTATAGACGCTGTTGTCACCACAAATGGTAGTTAAGGCGTTTATATTATTTAATATTTATTAAGCTGTAATGAGATTGTAACCTCCCATTGGTATTAAAAGAAACAATCAAATTACTAAAATAATTTCTAACCGTCTTCTTTTCTCACACTTACACTTTTAATACTGGCGAATCTCAATCTCCTCCCCGAGGTTAATGTTGTACAAGGTGAACTACGACCTTACTCACCCACTCGGTCGTGGAAGAAAGCCCAGAGGAAATGGGGGAACAGCAATCAAACGTTAGCAGCGGACATTGAATATTGCATCAATCGTTCAATCAATTAATCATCAACCAACCAATCAATCAATCAATCAATCAACAATACAATACAATAAAATACAATACATTACAATACAAACTTTATCGACACTCCCTGAAGGGGGCTTTTCATTGACAATGATAATACGTCGAAACAAGAGTACATCTAAAAATTGCAAAATTACACCAGCAAGCGTTTGCAGCATCAGTACTTGGGTTAATTTTTGCTGCATATGTGCCGCTGGCCTCTAAGAGCCCATACCCCATTATAGTCTATTCTGTGGCCAACTGTAGAACCCACCACCTTAGTCACTTTTGGGCAAATACTACTCACTTTCTATTTTTATGAATTGACCCATTTTTAGCTAGATTGAATGAAGAACACTTTACTTTTCTTCTGCAGTACAAACATTCTAAAACGCTTGCTAACCGTAAATATGAAGAGCTGTCTTACCCCAAAAATCCGAAAATGTGCGACCCCATTTTAGTAACTCTATTGGAAGTGCGACCCTATTATAGTCGATCCAGTCGTGAAAATGTGACCCCATCCAGCGGCATATCCCCATTAGCCTCTTATAAGGCAGTACCCCCCGGGGATAAAAGCTAGGAGAGTTGAATTTAGCAACATGTAGACGATCTCGCAAGAAAAGTAAGGGATGCTGGATTTTTGTTAAATGAAAGGAAATGCAAGGAACGAGACAGAGTTTGACCCTGTCTGTATTAACCCGTCAGACCCTGGAGGCTGGGAACAGTGTGAAATTG